AAATAAGCTGTTAAAACAATGTGATATATATATATAGTGTTTGGTTAAATTATTGTTGTTACAATATGTTTATTGCAGTGGCGACTCTTCTTGTAAGGTGCGGTAAACGTCACACACACCACACCTAAATTCTTGTTTATTATGATGTGCGTTCAAGTGGTATCGTAAAGTTTTTTTTGAAGATAGACCTTGTTTGCAGATCTTACATATTGTGTTTTTGTTTCTTCACAAAGTGAATATATATTATATGTTCCTTCGGTGAAGTTTTGTATTTGAATGTCTTTGAACATGTGTTGCATTTGTTCACTGTTAGATTGCCTGAATGAATATATTTTGTGTGTCTTACCAAGTTGTCATTTCTTTTAAATACTTTTGAACAATAATTGCATGAGTACTGTCCTGGCTTATGAGTGGACATGTGCCGCTGATACAACAAGTTGAACCAGAACTTCTTTTTGCATGTACTGTACTGGTCGCGGTGATGGTGTTTGTTTGAACATTCATCGCTGGGAGTGGACTCTGAATTGCTGCTGTCTACAATGGTAGGTCTGGTACAAAAGTGGTTACAACTTACAACTAATATAGTTAACTTTATAACCTAAAACCGTAAAACCTAAAACCTAAATGCGAATATTTACGACTTACCGCTAGATTGCATGACAACCATGCGGTAAATCACATACTTATCTGCCGGACGGCCGTCCTAGACGCCTAGGATTTTTTTCAATGCAAAGCCTAGATAGCTTAGGGCCTCCAGAATCTAATACCAAGTCTCAGTCCATTATGGCATTATAGCACATCTTAGTCTATCTTAACCCATGATTGAGATTACATTTTTAAATATATACATGACAAAATATATATATATTATATTATATTATGTATATATTACTATTATTATTATTATTATTATTATCTCGCTCAAAACTATTCAGTTTAAAAAAAAATGTTATTAGAAAACTCAATATAATTTTTGAAGACCTATCCATAGATACTCAACACTAATGGGTTAGATGAAAATTTTTTTTTTAGTTTTATGTATGGACAACCCCCAAAATGTATTTTTTTTTTCAATTTTTGTGTGAAAATCGTTAATCAAAATATATGTGTTCATAGAATACATCTAATTCCCAAGTTTCAACATACCGTTGAATAGTTCTCATAGTTTCGGAGAAAAGTGGCTGTGACACCATGACGGACAGACAGACATGACGAATTTATAAGGGCTACGGAACCCTAATAATAAATAATAACAAATGTATAAGAGGCTATTCGAGCCAGCGCTAATAATAATATGAAAAAACAATGACAATAGACGGATATTTGAACCAGATCACAGTTATACATGAAAAAGACAATCAAATTAACTATACAATATGATCACGTTAAGACGCACGGTTGTTTGCGGAAGAACGATATTACGACCTCATTTGATGCAACAATAATATTATTATAATGACAAAAACCCGCGACGAGTATAAAATTACAATTATTATTATATAATTCACACTTGTTTTTGATAATAGTCGACAATAGTGTTGGAAAATGTGCAACGGAGTTGGTGCCGGCCTTCAGGAAATCGAAGATGTGTTTATGGACAGGTACCTGTCAACTCGACGTTGCTCTATGTCCGATCCAATAATGTAAGTTATAAAACATTGTGTATTTAATACAATAAAAGCGTAGTAAAAAAATAATTAATAGACTATATTAATATAGTACCTACTTAATAAATGTAATATACCTGACCGTGCATAACAATATTACAATAATGTATTATTTACGTTTGAATTCATTAGAACAATGCCGTGACAGACATCGCTCCCAAACCGGTCGAAATCTATCTGCATAAGTGCATAACTGTAAGTTGAAAACGTCTAAATTAATTATTATAAATTAAATTAATAATAATATTTATCTAATAAATTAATTTTCTTTAGCATTCTGCAAGAATGAACGGTACAGTTTGAAAACTTAACAAAGTCATCTGGTGGATGTCAATACGTTGGTGAGCAGCCGTCGCACATCGGTCTGATGTACCTACGGAAAGTTATTATTGGACCGGTCATAATATTACGTTGAGAAGTTATCTGTTCATGAGCACATTTTCAGATTTTTAGGCCAATTCCGTTGACATTTTTTAATCATTCCTCGTTTTTTTATTAATATGTAACAGCATTTTAGGGGCTAAGTATTGTCATTCCCACTAGCTTACAGGACTTTATCATACATACAGCCGACACACCTACATTTTTGTATATTCTGGTCCACCCCATGATCACGTCACCGTTCATCAGATTGCCCAGTTTGAAAGTCGCCAACAATTTCATAAATCGTGACATAGCGCTGGGCCGGCATAATTTTGTCCGGATCAATTGACATCCCAATTATTAGAAGATAATAATATAGGTGTACTTAATATAATAAAATATTAAACCCATTATACCCAATTATTACATTGCAGTTATTACGATTAAGTAGAAATAATATTACAAACCAATTTTCACATCAGTGCCCAACATGGCCATGTATCTTTTAATGCCTATTTTTCATTAGCAGTACAAATCTGAAATTGAAGTTCCTCCAACCACGATTTACAGTTATTTGTCTTCAATGTTTTCATCCATGTTATCAACATATTTTGTATGTCTAATTCATCAATGTCTGATACAAACCTTGCTTATAATAATTTATCATTTCAGTTACCCGTCCGGTATTAGTCTATAAGTACACATTAACATAAATACAGTTTAAATATACACATCACATTCATACCGCGTAGCTCGTCGGTATTCGCGAGGCGACCCCGACCGCTGCCGATTGAGTTATTCACACCACTTTACACACCATACATAGTTCACAGGAGTCAGGCTAATAATAATATCACAATGACATGATGACTGATGATTGATGAGGGATGCTACCTACAACCTATCTATTTACAAACGTATAGAACCCTTTAATTATATTTAAAATGTATTATACATCTATACTTATACTTAAATACCATATCATCACATCACTCATTGGTTCATTATTGTTATCTATAATAATTAATAGGCTTCTTCAGTGCAACCTATTTGCGCCCATCACACCTTTTTAGGTTCCGTTCGGTAAAACGGATGCCTATTACTAAGGCTCCGCTGTTCGTCCGTCCGTCCTTCTGTCACTAGGCTGTATCTCATGAACCATGAAAATTAGAAAGTTGAAATTTACACAGATTATGTATTTCCGTGGATTCTATAACAACAAATACTAAAAATCCTTTTTTTTCGATTTAATCAAGGGACGGAGGAGGAATCGAGTTAGCATTTCTTCTCCTCAATACTAAAAATCCTAGAATATATAATATAAGCAGTGTTGCCAACATAGGTGATGATGGTACGGAACTTTTCGTGCGCGAGTCGGACTCCCACTTGGCCGGTTTTTTATAACCCATTTGCGCCTGAAATATTTTTAATAAAAATTCGTTAAAACGATGCAACGTTGACAAACTGTATTCTGGATATAATGCAATAAGACTTATTACCTTGTACCTAACTAGTAACTTACTATTGTACATATTATTTACCAGTTTTAGCTATTTTTAATTTTTACGTTACACTGTTTTCGATATTATATTATTATCGAATATCGATCCATTTTATATTAACTGCACTTCAAGACGACTCTCACTTTTCTCTGTTCATGCGTTGTGCTTACAAATCCTTAACTAGAGTATTATACTTGAGTTAAGAGTGTATAAAAATTTATTTTAAAATAATAAATACTACTAAAAATCGTGAATGTTTAATTTTTCGTAACTCTAAATTTCACTTTACTAGAAATTTGGCTACGGAAAATATAAGTTGGCGTTGCGTTAAAAAAAATTATAGTGCGTATGTAAAAACGAATTATTCAAAATCAACACTAATCGATATCAAAGACAGCCATGAACATGAACCAAATACTATTGAAGATTTAAACTTGCTGGAAGTTAGAGGTAAGTGCAAAAGGAAAGAATGCGAGGATTTAAATCTACAGCCAAATAATATAATACGTACGGATCTATCTTCATGTAGTACATCCAAATTCGATGATATTAACAGTATTAGAAAATCTATATACCGTGAACTACGAAAAGTGCTGCCTCCCAATCCTAAATCATTTAATGAGGCAATAGCACAAATTTCCGATTTACCAGTCTTAACAAATAAAAACTAACAATTGAAATTTGTTGATCATGAAAACAACATTATATTGATAACGTGCAAATCTAATTTAAACTTTTTGTGCAATTATAATCCACTCATATTTGGTGATGGTACATTGACTTATAAACCTTCTTATTTTTATCAAGTGTATGGTATACATGGAAGCTGACTCATAAAATAGCTATTACCGCCGACCGCGTCACTGACTAAAGCAAACCACTAAGCATCAATTGTAGTATAATTGAGTATAACTAAAGCAACAATTAAAAATAAGAATTTGACGAACATAGTGGAAAAAAATTAACTACTGACAGTTACCTGACAAAGTTAAAGGTCAAAATAGTTGGGACCCCAAGGTATTACTCCCGGGTCCGGATTTTTCTCTCCTAACTATATTACTATTATTTAGTATACCTACATGACTACATGGGTACTACATGGGTTACACAGTATTATAATATAATATTATTAGGCATAGGCCATCAAAATGTTTCATAGTTTTAAATAAATCATTAATTTTTAATTATTTTGAGCTCATATATATTATACTTTAATACCTATGGTAAGTTGGATTCCTTACACAATTAGTAATTGGGGCTAGAATAAGGAATATTCATAATTCCTGTCTACAATGTAGGTATTACATAATTTCGTAATATTATAACTTTAATTTTCTTTCATTTCCAAAAATTTCAAATTCATGCATTGTCCGTCAATTCAATATTTCTTATTTATCAGCTAACCAAACTAATACATCGTGCCGTGTTGTATTATAATATAATACCAGTTGCCGTGTTTAACGCATAGCTATATAATATTATATTCTCGTATGATCATGATTAATTGCTCAGAAAACCAATCCGTTAACTCGCAGTCGACCGAGACGGAAGTGATGCAAAGAGTATTTGCCGAATTACGCACGGCAAGTTTCCACGTTCCTGAACGGACGCTGTTGCAGTTTAGTCGGTAACCATCCTCGATTAGCTGCCGACACCAGTCCGAGCCAAATGTGACCGGACCATCCGCGATTAGCCACCTGCAGTCCACGCCAGCAAACGTCACCGGACTCTGCCTAGGACCAAAATATGCTGAAGCAGACGACACCTCAAGGACGGAACAGCCGTAAGCCGTCTGAATCCGAGTCGATGGGCCTCGATCTGGTCGACCTGCAGCCTGCTGCGCCTGTTTACCGGAAAATTCCGCTGCCACCACACCGCACTGGCCCGTCAGTGTCCGTCGACTGCCCCTTGTGCTCATCCCGGGCAACGTTATCGAGGCTCCGGAAGTCCCGCTGCCATCAGATGACCGGACAAGACGAGGAGAGACCGTGCCAGAACTGCCAACTGTTCCCGCGGCGAGTTCCGGCCAGGCAGAACTGGAACCGGATACCGGTGACAGCGACGCAAGCATGGCGGTGGCAGCCATGGACGACCCCGCGACCAAATCTAAAAAACGCACCACACTTTGGAGACGGACGAAGCGAATCGTCCGTCGCATGTTTTGTTGCGGCGTTTGAGCGGTTATCGCTACGTTTGATTTACACGTTATCCAGTCGGCCAACTTTTCGTGTCCAACTCTGTTTTTCCGTCGGACAAATCTTTAACCGACTTGTATACTTTGTTTATTTATAGACCAACTTAAATATACGATATTAAAAACAAATTCAACTTTCGAGAAACTCCAACGACAAATTTAGCTTTTTAACGACTTTTTATGTGTGGCTTGTGATGGGACATTTATACACACTTATATTATTATAATGTGTGTGACAACGAATCGACAGGTAAGTTTTTATTTTTACAGTTGAATAAGGCGAAGTACCTAATAACAATTAATCAGACTATGTGTACACTTCAAAAGTAATCAGTTCCTTATGGCTCACGTGACAAGAGTTGTAAATGATACCATAATATGTACAATTTATTATACGTCTATATACCTGCGTATATCTGGGCCCGACATATAGTATAAATGTAATATAATTATTATATACATGTGCACATGTACCATGTACAAAATATGTATATTATATACATGTGCACATGTACTATGTACAAAATGTGTATATTATATACATGTGCACATGTACCATGTACACCTAAATACACATTAGTACAATATTCACTCATTTATTTTGTAGTCCGTTTAAGTATTAAAATATATTATATATGAGGCGTTACGTGGCAAAGTCAGCAATCTCCACTTTTTTTGGAATAAATGTTTTGATCATATTCATATAATACGTTTTACTCTGCGTCGATTGGTGAAGCTGATTTTTATCACATATAATCGCCCACACCGAAAAAAAATCCTTGTTCATAATGATAAAAGCATATGTGTGTTTGACAATAATCTTGTAAACATAGGTCCAACAATTTTTTTTATCAAATTGATAATTATCAATTGTAAAATTTGTAATAACAAAACGATTATCAAATCAACAGAGTAAATTGTCATTACAACAAAAACCTGCTGTTAATAAGTTATACACATTTTGTAGTGGCGACAATACATTTGTCATAACAGTAATGTTTGATTGTAATTTAAACAAAAACATACTGTTAATAAGTAATACAATTTATGTTGTAGTGACAATACATTTGTCAAAACAATAATGTTATTTTATTATTTAAATGGCATACTTTGCAGGGTGTTTAACCCCCTCCCCCTCGTAAGTAGTAACTTCATAATCTTCTTCACCATTCTCTCAATTAGCCACCACTGTCCTACACCACCATATGGATATGGGGGCCCTGTACCCTACCACTTATTTACTCTCACCAGATTTTTTTTAGTAATTTTATGTTTTGTCAATCCATCTAAACTTTGATCTCCCTCTCTATTGTTTAATATTTATTTCCCTAGGTACTCTTAATTCCACTGAATCATATCTCCCCATAACATGACCGAACTATCACAACCAATTCTCCCTTATACCAATTTTGTCTACAAATTAATTACATTTTTATTCTATCCTCCTTATTCGCTCCACACATCCAAATATAAATATAGAAAATATAGAAATATTAAAAAGTAATAATTGTAAAACATTTTTATTCAAAATACAGGTACCAAATATTGTATAGCTATTAACATCTGATTTGTAAATTATTTATACAGTTGTTCTTAAATATTAATATTATTAAAATATCAAAAGCAAAATAGTAAATTACATCTTATATTAAATACTTAAATCTAATAAAATTTGTCCCAGCATATGATGACTTTTGTCAAATTTAGTGTTTAAAGAATAAAAATATTTTTGAATAAAGAGCCAAACAATATATGCTTCTGGTGGATATTCGAGATTAAAAAGATGAAAAATCTTAAAGCAAATATCAATTGCTGATATAATAGAGAATAATTTATATTTTATGGAATCAAAAAAAACTAAAATTTCTTTTGGTTTCGTAAGAGTACCAATAATAAAAATAAAAGGTTGGACTGGACGTTTTTCATTTTTTAGAATTTTAATATGATCTTCAATTTCAGACACAGTATTTTTGAACACAATAAAACTATTTTGAGAATCTTTAATGGAGTACTTCACTTGATTCTTTTTTCCATCTGAGTCCCTGGTTACTTTTTTTGATGTGGGAACAAATACAGCATGCATTAAATAAAATATAATTGTATATTTTTCATCTACAAAAAATGAATATATTTTATTAAAATTTGTTTTTTTAATGTATTTGATTATTTTCAGAAATTGTTGAATGAGACTCCTTCAAACTTTCAAAAATCTTACGACAATTCAAATCTTTTACATGCTCATCCATCAACAACATAGTTTTTTCTAATTTTACCTCAAACTGAGAAACAGAATTTGAACATTTTGGATACAGAGTATTAAAGTCAATATCAATCTGAAAAAATAATTAATTATTACATACTGTAAAATGAGGATATTTAAATTTACCAATGATCGAATCGTAAAAAAGGACATAGAGAAAATTATAACTTCCTGGTGCCCAGTCTTGTAAAGTATTCGAATACAAATATTCGGATACTTGTATTTAAATACTTATAAAGTATTCTAAGGTATTTCAAATATGGTATTTATACTATTGTTGTGATAAAAACTTACTAATCTGTATCCAAGTGGTAAGGCATAGTTTTTCCATTTGTTCATAATTTCTGTAGTAGAAGAAGAATTCTGAATACTGTTTATACGATATTTTGTTGTACCTTTCCATAATTTTTCAAGCTCTAGGAATGAACAATTAGCATCATTCTGTATTTGATCAATCATATAATGAATGTCGTCTTCAGGTTCTATAAAACATCATAGTTCATATAGCATTAAAGTACATAAAATATAATAATTACATTCAGTATTTTACGATAATTTACAAATTAAATGACAACATTTACAACAGAAGAAATGGCAATTTAAATAATATTTTACCAAATTCTATATCATGTCGACGTTGAGTATGTATTTCGACTGCAGTTTTTACTCGTTCCTTACTAGGTACTAGTCCACTTGTCTTAAGTGTTCTCATTGAGTTATAATATTTGGCATAAAGCTTCCCTTTGGGATTTTTGTTATGTCCATCCTTCATAAAATATGTATCCTAAAAAAAAATATTATACAATTTAATTCCTGCTTTTATATCTTTGCTACCAATCTTTAAAACCTTACTTTCACTTCAGAAGGGAACATAGCAACAATATAAGTCGCAATGCTGTCAGCAAGATTTATAGACATCGGTATTTTTTTAGTTATTACAAAACTGATAATTGAATCAACTAACAACACACGTATGTTGTTATTTAATCTGCTGTTAACTTTAAAATAATCAATTATCATCTTTCCAGTCAAAGATGCATTTAATATTTCTCCCAAATTAAAAGTTACAGATGTAGAAGATAATTTTAATGGTTGATGGGGCTTTAAAGTTGATATATTAGTTGTTGTTTCATTATGATTAGTTGTTTGTGAAAAACAAAGAACATCTTGCTGATCAAGAGACTTCTGCCAATTTTCAAGGTGGTGAGTAAAAAGAACTTTGATACCAGTTGGATATGTTTTTAACATTTTAATAGCAAGGTCCCGTTTCATAATTGCTAATATTTTCATGTCAACCATTTCATCTATTTATTGAAAAATATTATTGTTAATACAAACAAAAGATCAATGTTATGGTATAAATAAAAAAAAAGTTAACTTACCAATTAAGGTTTTAGATAGACACTCCAAATCCCATTTTTTCAACAAATCAAATAATGGCTGTATTTGATCTATTGGATATTCATACCCTTCTAAACCTGATATTGACATTGAACAGTTATTTAAATCCTGTAAACAGTGAGAAATAATAGTACAATATTAATATTAGTATAATATAAACATGCAACCCATTTGAATTGAATACTAAAAAACTTGCAATATTCATAAAATCATCTGAATTATCATTATTATTTTCTATAACGATATTTTCACTTAAGTTGGCATTATTATCTTCACCAATCACATTTTCAAGCATTGTTAATTGTTTAGTGTGATTATTTTCCATGTTACCAAAATCAAATTCAGCACTAAAATGATAATTATTAATATTAATAAATATAAATATAATAATAATAGTACCTACCTAATAATAAAATATATATAATATATATTAATTATATATTGTTATTAATAATATTAGTTTTAATAATGTAATTAGTTGTATACAGCTCAAAATATATATAAATTATAAACAATAAATAAAAAAAAGCAAGTACAGCACTAAAATAATAATATTAATTTAAATAATGAAATTTGTTATATACAGCTCAAAATATATATAAATTATATACAATAAATAAAAAAAAGGTTATGAAAAATATTCTTTTAATCGAATCATTAATTTTCCAGATGAAATTTGAGAAATATTTATAGGTGGTCCACTAAAGTCATCTATTTCAAATATAACACATTCCTTAATTACATATAGGCTGCTATCTACTTCATAAGCTTCAAGGTGCAAATGATAACCTGTTATTTTTACTTGTTTGGTTACTATGAAGACTTTATCAATAACATTACTTAAAACTATTAACTCTAAAATTTAAAATAAACATAATTCTTCAACAAACTTTGTTAAGTAGTAACCTCTTTTATACAAAGTTCCTTTGTATTCTATTTGAGAATAACATTTATAATCTGCTGTTGAAAGAGTAAGTATACTAAACAAAGATTCTGAATATAAACTACAAATATTATGATTTGAATTTACTATTGTCAACGTTGTTTCTGAGCGTAGAAGGTAGTGAGCAAACTTAAATTGAAATTTTTTAGCTAATGTAAGTGTGATATTTTTCCTTGAAGATGTGGAGCGAGCATACATTTTAATTTCTTTATGCTTTCCCTCAAACCTAAAACACCAGTAATGTCTAGGTGGGCCTGAATATTCTATTATAGTAGGATAGTGAATCAAAAAATGATGCTTGGGTTTCAGTGTATCATTAAAAAGTCTAATGTACATTGAATTATGTTGAATAATCAACTG